CTGTCCTGCCTACCTAATCCTCAGATCAGGTCCCATCCTTCTGAGAAAACTCCAAATTCCAAGCCCTGACATTCAGAACCCTAGGTAGGCAGGGCCCAGCATTCATTCTTTGGGTTCTATTTCCTCCCCTGAGTTCCTGTTCTCCACTTCTGCTGGGTCCTCAGAATCCTGCCTGCTTCCCACCTAGCATTGTCCAGGTTCTGCTCTGTAAAAACAAAACAATTTAAACACACAAATAATTAAGCAGTCCTCATTAAGGTGTGGTCTGGTGGTCTCTCTTTGGCCCCATTTTTTTTTTTTTTGAGAAAGAGAGGGTTTCTCTATGTAGCTTTGTAGACCAGGCTGGCCTCAAACTCACAGAGATCTGCCTGCCTCTGCCTCCCGAGTGCTGGGATTAAAGGTATGTGCCACCACTGCCCGGCCTGAGATTTATTTTTGATAAAAAGCACACAGGCCCCTCTGTCCAACAAGGCTACTGAATGCAGAATGAAAGCACCGCATCCGTTGTTTCGTCTGTCTCCTTCACTCAGGGTCACCTGCTCACTTCTGTGCAGAGACATGTCAGTCACTCAAGGATTGTCTAAAAGCTGTACTCCTCCCCTTAGTATCTTACTTCAAGGCTAAAGGCACAAACAACTACTGAGTCAACTTTTACATCCAGACCTTGAAAGGTGCCCAAAGGCCTCCAACCGCTGCCCTAAACCTGCAGTCACATTGAATCCCAACAACAACACTGGGAGACAACTATCTTTATGACAAGGTAAAGAAACACCTCCAAGCAATGGCAAACTGCTGAGCTTCCAGGGATAGGACGCCTCCTAAAAGAAGGCCTCTTCTAGAGTGGCCAGGCTACATTCGACCACCTTGCAGAATAAAACCTAGACAGGGATCGCCCAGGCTACACCGTGACCAGGACTGCTTAATTATGTGTTTAAATCATTTTTTTTTCCTCCAGGGGAGCTAGAGAGACGGTTCAACAGTTACGAGCACTCCTTGCTTTTGTAGAAGACAATTAATTCCTAGCACCCACATGGTGGGGACTCATAACCGGCTGTACGTCCAGGGGATCTGATGCCCTCTACTGGTCTCTGTGAGCACCTGCATAGAATGCTCATATACACATGGATAAAAATCCTTAAAAAATGAAACATGATCTCACAGTGTAGCCCAGGCTAGGCTGGAACTCACTATGTTAGCCCTAGCTAGCAGAATTCAAACTCTTAGTGCTTCTCTTCCCTCAGGTGGTATCACATGCATGGGTCACTAGGCCTGGCATTTTAATCCTGCGACTCTGCTTCCTGTTCTGTCCTGTCTAGATGGGTCTCATTGAAGAGTCCTGGGATTTTGAGGAGAAAAGGACCCAGACTGGGGTCAATGTGGATGAGCCTTGTCCTTTTTTGTTTGTTTGTTTGTTTGTTTGTTTGTTTGTTTTTTGAGACAGGGTTTCTCTGTGTAGCTTTGGCTGTCCTGGAACTCACTATGTAGACCAGGCTTGGCTTGAACTCTGCCTCTACCTCCTGAGTGCTGGGATTAAAGGCATGTGCCACCACTGCCTGGCTTTCAGAACACTTCTTAACTTAAATACTTTTATTACGTGTATTTATTTATTGTGTGTGTGCATACTCATGTGCCTTGGCACACATGTAAAAGTCAGAGGCCAGCCTGTGGAAACACATTCTCTTATTCCATTGTGTGGGTTCCAGGAATCGAACTCAGGTCACCACCTTTACCCACAGAATCACTTTGTTGGCCCTACACCTTTAATTTTTATGGAATGGGGTGTCACAGATTTGAGAATTACAAAGAAATGCATTGTAATTTGACTTTGACACCATTATCGCAGCTAGCCTGCCCACTTCTGCCACCTCTGGCTTCAGCTTGCCCAACTGTTAGGCTCTGTTCTGGCAGAAGCCCTCTGACTCCTTGACCCAATTCAGTCCTCCTTTAGTCCTCCTCCCCGTTGGCTTTTTGGGGATCTTGGACTATGTGCCCCTGGGGCTGGGGCTCCTGTGTGCTGAGATGGGAAGTAAATGGCCAAGGTCCACTCTGCTCACTGCAGAGCAGGGCTTCCTTCAACTAGGCCCCTTGTGCCCTGTCCTCCTTTGCCACGTGGCTCTCATCTGTCCTCTTGGTCACTGGTCACATGGCCTTCTTCCCTCTCCACTTCTCGCCCTCCATAGGATATGCTCTGCTCCCTGTCCCCAGACATCTTGGCCAGAACTACCTATTCCTGCTCCTCTGAGAAAATATTCCAGAAAAGTTCCTATGCCCAGCCCCCATGGTGCTCACTCTGGGGATCGAGCTCCACAGTACTCCTTCTGACACTGGAGTGACCACAGTGCTCCCTCTGAGGGGGGACCCCCCACAATGCTCATTCTGGAAGCAGGGCCCCCCATGCTCCCTCTGAGGGTGGAGCCTCATGGTACTTACTTTGTGATTGGTACCCCAAAATGATACACAGACCTCATTTCTCCCACTTGGAGTACATGTCGCTGAGGTACACTAGCCTGGGTATATCTGCCACTGCCCAGATGCTGTGGCAACCTGCAGTGCCACTCCTCTTTACCCTACTAGAGCACTGAGGACCGATGAGTCAACGGGCCAACAGGAGGCACCAGGCTCTAGCTTAGATGGTAGGCTCTAGATGGTCAGTGGTACTCAGCCGGCCTCCTAAGCTACACAGTGCTCGACGGGTAATTCTGAGACTCGGAGCTGCCAAGCGGAGGAAAAAAAAAACATAATACCACCTGGATGAGATGCGGCTGCTTAGTAGTCACAGCAAGGTGGTCTGCACTGGCCTCTGCCCTGACCCACTTGTCACTGTGTAGGGGTGGGTGTGTGTTGGGGTGGTGGTGCGGGTTGTGGGGAGGCTTACTAACCTGGAGCTAGGCTGCCACCTACTGGCCAACCACCTGCTATAGCCATTACACCCGTCTGCACAGCTCAGTGAGTTCCCAAGCAGCTTAGGGGTCCTCCCCTCCAGGCTCTATTGCTGAAGCAGGCTAGCTAGATAAATCAGGCTCTCACTTCCCCAGAGCTGAGCAGAGTCTGATAGTCTGTCTACAAAGGGAAAGAACATTCCACACCTACTGTGCCTATGTTCTGCAAAGCACAGGGCACCTGGGAGCCTGACTGGAGGGGAGCTGGCCCTCGGCTGTGCAGCTCTCATTGAGTAGACATCTGGAAGTGACAGGCACAAGTCCCTTATGTGGATGCTGGGAGAAATGCCCAGTTCTGTGGATGGAGTTGCTGCTCTAGGAATTCATCTGCAGGGTCACCTTGGCAAGTCACTAGGCTCTATCAGACTATCAGCAACCACCCCCACATCAGATTGCCTGGTGGTTAGCTTCCTCCATCAGTCTGTCTGCCCAGTTTCTCCCATCAGGCTATGACTGGTGGGCCTAATCTCACATACTGGCTTGCTGGCCTCTGCCATCAGCCTGTGGTCAGACATCTCATGGGGATGTGTCCCTGAATGTCCTTGTGGCCACTGAATTCAGGGTTTGTCGTAGTACTTTTCAATACATCCCAAATCACTGAAGGAACTCTAGGGTGTTTTTCAAAAGCAGAAGATGGAAGAGAAAGGAACCACTAGAGAAAGCTTTGCCCCACCAGAGCATTTCTTTGCCATACTTTCCCACACCAGGCTGTGCATATTTGTCAGCCACTGCTAGGGGTGTGAGGGCCCTAGCTTGCCCATCTCCTTAGAGTGGACAATACTGGGTCTGCCCACTGGACTTGTGGAAAGTTATCTTGTGCCTTGGGCTCCACCTATCTTCCAGGCCCATATGCCCTTATTCTCACTATCAGCTTCCACCACCCTTGAAAAAGAGACAAACAGAGGCCATTTGCTGGGGCCTGCACAGACAGGCAGGGGTTCATTCTGCTCCATGATGCCTTCACTAGACATCAGCCCACTGTATTCCCTGTCTTCACCTAACAAACACTCTAGAAAACCCACAAGGAACTACTAGGGCCAGGAGCTGTCACACAGAGCCCTGAGAAAGCATGGAAGTGCTGAAGCAATCACCTCTCAGAGCCAGGAGAAGGACCCCATGGCTGGCATGGGAAGGCACTGGGACACATGACTGGTCAGGAGGAGGTGGACAGACAGGAGGGCCCCCTGGAACAGGACAGCTTTCTGCAGGAGCTTGAAGAAACAGTGCCCTCCTGGACAAGGAGCAGCAGGAAGCTGCAGCAGCAAAGGGAGGGCCTACAAAGGGCAGTTGAGCAGGCAGCCAGGGGCATGATGGCCTGGCCAGAACTGGGCGTGGTGCTGGCTTGGCAGCCCACAGAGTTCCCACTAGTGGCTGGTGTGGCCAGCTCCCTGTCCCACCCCCAGACACTGTGGCAGCAGGTTCAGGGACCACAGATTTTCTCTGGGGAACTCGACAACCTCAGAGACACTTCCATCCTGCCCAGCCAGTGCTGTCCTCAGGCCTCTGGTCTACTACTGCCTGGCAAGCCTACCTCAGGCTGTGCCAGGGCCTTTCTGGAAAGTGGAGCTTTTCCAAAGGTCCACTGAAACCCATCCAGCTTCCGGGATATGAGGACATGAAAGAGATCCAGATGTATTCTCAAGTCACAGATCCAAGAGTGAGCCTTGGAGAGGCGGAGCAACCTATCCAAGGTCACACAGCACAGCATGCACACATAATACAAACTAGCCGGCTGGCCCGGATGGGCAGACTGCTTTATGAATGGGTGAACAGAAGACTCGGCAGCCTGAGTGTGCTCACACTCTGCAAAGCAGAGGGAAGGCACCATCTGCCACTGTTTCTGTTGCTGCTGATCCCAACATAAAGTCCCAGTACTTTCACATCACGGTGGACACAGGAATTGGTCCTTATCGGAGTCAGACTCCTCAGAGACAGACTGGGGTCAGACAGAAAACATAATCATCTCCTCTGACCACCAGGTCCTAAGAGACCCGACCCATGTGAATGTGAGACATTCACACAGCCTCAGTTGTCCCCATGCTAAAGAGGCAAAGAACCTACCTTGCTCAGGAGCCAGAGGCTGCAGGGTGGATGAGGGAAGGGATACCTGTGGCCTGTCTGCCTGTGACCTTGGCTAAGGCCTGCACAGTCCAGAAAGGCCTGAACATGGGTCAGCGTTTTCACTGTGCTGGGTGTCCTGGTCGTGGGGCTACCCAATGGCTTACATATTATGAGGAATCCACGTGGCCACAGGATGGCGAGCAGGCGGACTGGACAGAGGGCTCCTGGGCTGTGACTCAGCGGAACTTGGGAAGGTTGCAGCCAGCTTCAGTGGGAGCTGCCCATCTCAGTCTGCGCAGGGAAACCCAACTGCCTGCCTGCTTCCTGATAAATATTTTATCATGCTTATGGAGCAGGTCCCAGGCGAGTGCCTGTAGCCTTGGAGTCCATAGTATACCCCTCCCTGTCCAGGTCTGAAGTGATGAGAGAGAGAGGTGCCAGGAGGTGCAACTGACAGCTCCTTTAATTTCTGGCCCAAGATGACTTCAGGGCATCTTAGTTCAGCTCAGCACACAAGCCCACAATGCCTATATCGCCTATACCCCGCTCAACCCTCCTGATGCTAGGCCCCTCTTCACTCTACCATGAATGCTAGCCAGACTCTGCCCTTCCATCCTGCTGACTCAGTGCTAGCCACCTCCTTCAGGAAGCCTTCCCGGATGTCCCTTCCTGTCATGTAATCCTGGGAAGGCCTATCTTGGCGCCTGGCTCTACAATGGAACTAATGTTCCCCAATCATAGGGGACAAGATAAAGTTGTGTGAATGCATTTTCTCCTCTAACTTTGTCCCTAGGGAGGTTCATTCCAGCTGGGAAACCACAGAACATTAAGTCAGGTGGGCTCAGAATGTAAGACCTGCCCCCTCTTGCAGGGACAACCACTTTAGTAAGGAGGAAGTAACTTGGAGAATACTGCACCCCCTTGCCCCCCATTGTTGTCACTAAGGATAATGTATACCTAGTTAGGGATAACTTACTATTGTTTAGGGTTGGAACTGGAAGGAGGTGTTCAGGCTTGGACACCTCTTTCAGATGACTTTAGGTTTTAGTTAACAGAGTTAGGGTATGACATAAGCAGATTATTGTATCTTCTGGTATTTCACCCTTATGATTATGGATACTTTTCACGGTTAAGTTTTAATCCTCTTTTAGACTAAAAGAGGAATTGTAGGAGGTACCCTAACCACGCCTCCTACACCTTCACATCTGGAATAATCAAGCAGGAGCCATGTCTCCCCACCAAGAAGCAGCCATGATGGATGGCTTTCAGTTCATCTGAGTCAGACCCAGTTTTATAGCTGTGTGACCTGGGACCTGGATACTGACCTCACTGTCTCACCTTCGTCTGTACGAACTGGGGTCACCATAGTACAACCTCACAGGGCCTGCAGAGGGCAACATGGAGGCAGGTCAGTGTGCCTGTGATTTGCCTTTCTAGAGCATCCCTAAGGCTGAGAATGGTTTTGCTGGCCATCAGTACTGCAGGCTGCCCCATCACACTCTCTGCTGCCACAATGGGGTAGAAAGTTTGTTTTATACATGAGAAAACTGATGCACAGATAAGAACTCCTCAGATTCAAAGAGGGCGTCCAGAAAGGAACCAGGCCTAGAACTGGGGTCTAGAGCTGAAGGGGCTGTCTTCTAGGATGGGTGTTCTCCTATGTCTGTCTCCTGGACTCTCCCCTGGGTGCAGGTTCATTTACTTTGCTTGACAAAATGCTTTTACAATTTAATGATGGCTTCCAACCAATCTAGCAAGAAAACTTTGAGAACCTTTTAGAAAAATGTATGCTGCTCATGCTGGGATCCAAGGAGCCCACATGGTGGCCCCTGATGGTGAGGCTGTGTATTTTTTCTTATCTTTAAGCATACCAATATGGTATGTGTCAAGTGGCTGGCTACAGAGACCTGGGTCTGAGCCCTGGTCCTTCCCCTTGCTGGCCTTGGGCCTCAGTCTGCCCATCTGATAACTGGGCAGAGCCAAAACAACCTCTTGGGCTACTGGGAGAATATACAGAGAGAAGCTCCCACAGGGAGCAACACAAAGCAGATGATCAAGACACAGGGACAGCTGTTCATTACAGGTTGAGCCAAGCTTGGGGCAGAAGCAAGTGAAATAAGGTCTCTCTGCATGCCTCCTGGGTAATCCCCAATGTGTAGATGGAGAGTTTCATCTCTGTGATGACACCATTCATCTTTTAAAGATTATTTTATTTATTATGTTAAGAGTTCTGCCTGCATGTTTCCCTGCAGACCAGAAGAGGGCACCAGATCTCATTACAGATGGTTACGAGCCACCATGTGGTTGCTGGGAATTGAACTCAGGACCTCTGGAAGAACAGTCAGTGCACTTAACCTCTGAGCCATCTCTCCAGCCCCAACCATTCATCTTTTAAAAGATGAGTGACAGATAATCAAGTCACCGGGACTTCCTTGCAGCTATAGGGTATACTGGATATCTGGATACACCAACTCACTTTGAGTTAGAAACTAGTGATATAAAGAACTGAGGACTAGAGGCAGGTGGATGGATCTCTGTGAGTTCCAGGACAGACAGGGCTACACACAGAAACCCTGAAAAGCAAAACAAAACAAAACCAAAACAACAACAAAAGAACTAAGGACTTGGTAGACATTCAGCATGACTGCAGGTTGCAGTAGCCACAGTCCATGGTACAGAGATAGGGACTGGTATCTGGGCAAGTTCTGGACTAACAATCACAGGGAAGTGAGCTCCTTTACATCTGGAATAATCAAGCAGGAGCCATGTCTCCCACCAAGAAGCAGCTATGATGGATGACTTCCAGTGCATTCAGAGTCAGACCCAGTCTTACAGCTGTGTAAGCCCTGGGTAGGGACTGTCCCCTCCCTACATGCCCCGACACACAGAGGTCAGTAAGCTCCTCTGGGGTGGTCAAATGACACAGAGTTGCTGATGGTTCCTTGTACTCTGTACTAGGTGGATACCTGTTTCTTTCTCACCTGTGTCCTCTCAGTCACCTCAGTACTGATGTCAACACCCACAACAACACTACGACTTGGGTTTGGATGGCTTCCCTACAGTACCACAAGTACTGTAAGATGGCTTCACTATAATGGAGACCCCCCCTCCTACCTCACAGCAGAGAACACTCATGGCTGGGGCTACCCTTTAATTCTCATGATGACACATAAGGCATGTGGTGGCCATTCTCACCATTTGATAGACAAAGCAGGAGGCAGCCAGAGACTGGGAAATTTGCCAGGGCCACAGGGCTAGTGAAGGTGTGCAGATTAGCTCGCAATAGCCGGGTCAGCGCCTTCACTTAGTCCCAAAACCATCTATTCCAGCTCTCACTTTGCAGAAGAGAACCACAGCTCATGGGGTGAGGTAGCTTCCTGGGGCAGGTGACTCTGGGTGAGTCTTATACCCTTATCTCACCGACTTTTCTTCCTGGGCTATCAGGAGCTAAGCCTGCAAAGGCTCCAAGGTTTAGGGTTCCTAAGGTCCTTAACAATATGTCCCAAAGCTCTCAAGCCCCATCTGTGCTGGCTGCAGTGGTGTACACCTGTAACCTAGCACTCCAACCTGAGGCCTGAATATCATCTGAACACAGAAGTTCAAGACCAGCCTGGATACCCTAATAATACCATCTTTCCATTCTCCCCCCTCCCCTTTTTGAAACAAGGTCAGGGTCTCTACCTCAAGCTGGTCTCAAACTTACTATGGAGCTGAAGATGACCTTAGAGTTCTGATCATTCTGCATCCCCTCTGCCCCCAGTGCTGGGATAACAGGTATGCACCCATCATATATAATTTCTGTGGTGTAGGAATGGAATCCAGGGCCTTGTGAATGCTAGGCAAGCACTCTAATAATTGAGCTGCAGCCCCAGCCGAGATGCTGTCTCTTAAAAAGCCCTGCATCCAGATCCAGTTTTGAGCCATGAAAGAGGAATGTGGTTAATAGAGAAGAGCATTACATTGTCATTAAGGAGTCACCTCCTCATTCCAGGCAAACTTCCCATCTCCTGTCTCTGAATGGGGAGTGACTAGTCCCTGTGGCCACCCTGAGCTTCAGGACAGGATCTCCTGGCCCTGCTGTATAACCCAGGGGACCACTGTCTCCCTCATCTGAACCTCCTTCTCTGTATCCTCTTGTCATGTGTGCCTGGCTCCCTCTGTGAGGTCTCTGGCCCATCCCCCAGCCCTCCAGCCACCTGCAGACTTAGGAAAGACCTTTGAGAAGGGATCACTTTCCTGAAGGGGGTCTAATGGGTAATCTATGAGAACAGGAGAGCGTGAATGTGGGGCCTCTAGAGGGGCCCTGGAACCCGGTGGGTAGTTGTTTAGGTGGCTCTATTGTCACCCCTCAAGCCCTGCCTTGCTCACAGTGGCTGGCATCACACCGAGTGCCTGCTCTGCCTCCCCAGGCATTTTCGCGCAGCCAGCCCTAGCCTTTCAAGCTATCCATTAAAAACAAAAGCCATTTGCCAAACAGCATCTGCACAAACACTTTCCCTGCTGCTGAGGAAATACAACTGTCCCCAGCACCCTCCATTAACACAGTTATCCTGAAAACAAGTACCATCCACCCTGTGGCTGGTACCTCCACGTTCTGGGCACATCAGTAGATCCTCTTGGGGTACCCAGTGTGGATAGAAATACTGACTCCTTGTTTTCAGATGGAGACCCTGAGGATCAGAGAAGCAAAGTGACCTGCCCAGAGCTACACACCACTCACTCAGCGGTGGACCTCGAGTTTGCTCAGGCTCACCTGGCTTCAATAGCAACCTGTGCGCCACAGTTCAACAAAAAGCTGTGGATACTAGAATTGGCAGTGGGAGCACTCAGGAGGTCATGACCACTGACAAGGGGACTCAGGGACACAGCTAAGACTTGGACACTAACAGGGACCCTTCTTGAGACTGAACTATTGCCGGCCAGCCTTCTCTCAGCAGAGCTCACACTTCAATGTGCACCTGAACAGGGCTGAGGGACTTTGTGGTAAATACAGATTCCTGGGATCCTAGCAGCATCTCAGGACAAACCAGGAGCCTGCATTCTATGAATCAAGCATCTTCAAAGAGGACTGGGGATGGCCAGAGACCTGACTAGAAGAGCCCCTTGCCTATCCTAGGAGGGTCAGAAGGAGATGCTGGTCTCTCTGGATGCAGCCCAGGGAATAGGCCCAGGCCTTTGAGATCCTGGACACAGAGGCAGGTGCATCCACGCTCTCAGCCAAGCACATCCCTAATCACTTCACTTTGATACCATGCTACAGTCTCCACAGCCCCTCACAGTGTCACTCCCACCCATGCCTGACAGGGATATGGAAGCTGGGGGGTGGGGGGAGCAGGATAGAGTTGGCCTCCTGGGGCCTGCAGGCCAGGGACCCTCCCACAGCCCTGTGGTCTTTTTCACCCTGGCTCTGGCAAGGGAAATCTTGGAAAGCATTAGGCCCTGCTCATACGGGAAGCCATGTAGGAATCGTGTGATTTGGTCACTGGCTCAGACCTTGGCCAGGCTGATCTGCCAGGTGTCCCTACCTGCTGTCAATGGCCAGAGAGGGTGACAGACCCCTAAGTGCTCCTACTCTGGGGCCTCTGCCTGTGTGGG